ACACAAAAAGGTGCTATTGGACTATAGGCTATTTCCCCCCCTTTTTTTTCTTCATTTGAAAGGGGGGGAGGAGTGGGGGCATTTTTGTTCGATTGTTTGTTTGTCTGTTTGTTTTCGTTTGGTTTGTTTCTTTGTTTGTTTGGGGGGGGGGGGTTGTGTCGCATTTCGCTCCGACTGCAAAGAGAGCTTGCCTTGGACAAACATAACATTGCTGTACAGCTCCTCAAACCAACGCTGCTGAGAAGTCCAGCTTGACCTCGGGCCGGTGATCAAGTTGTAATCCGCTTGTAGCCGCCACATAAGCTTAGGCAAACTGTATGGAACAGCACAACATAATATCTGCACGCTCCAGGAATGTGCGGGACCAATTATGAAGCTGAGTAGCCGCTTGACTGACAATCTCACGTCCACGCCAACTCGGTTAACGCTTTTTAAACAGCAATTGAGTCAACAGAACAAGTGGCAGAAGAAACAACAATCCTTGCCTGAGGTCTACCCGGGCCTTTTGTTGTAGAAATAAGCGGCCAGATTACAAAGTGCAGAGAATGTTTCTACTTTCAAAACAAGTTGGTCCGTGTCTGTGGCGAACAGGCAGGACAATAGTAAGGTTTGGTATGTTTAGGTATCAGGCCGAAGGGCTAGAACTTAGATGGCCGGAAGAGTAAAGTAAGTATGTTAACCCTATCCGTACGTCGTGTTTCACAATCGTATCCATACGACGAGAGGAACTTTGTGCCATCACTTTCCAAAGAGGAAATTTATTCGTTAATCCGATCCGTACGCTTTGCGCAGTAGTCTGTCAAAATGATTTTTTGAGAAATATTGAAAGTTTTAAAGAGATCTTCGCACTAGAAGTATTCTAAAACGTGAAGAATACAACCCCGGGGATACAAAATGACCCCCGGGCGTACAAATATGGTTACGGTATGGGTTAAAAGTCCCCTTCAAACCAGAAAACCTATTTACGAGGTATCTCCCATAGGAATCAAACAAGTAGGCGGAGAGCCTTGGAAGCTCACCAAGCAACTGATGTTCAAGAATACAGCTGTTGGGGACTCAAACCAGAACCATTTGGGAGGCATCGTGGTGAAATCAGGCGCTTGTCTAAAAAATAATGAAATCGAAGAAACTGACATTTTTCTGTCTGTTTGTCAATTTTTATCGATTTTTTTTTGGGGGTGGGTGGGTTGACTCAACACCTTTAATGTCCATTTAAAAACACATTTCCTTGTTGATTTTACTGAAAAATGTTGATTTAAGACACAAGAAAGTGCAGTTTCTAAGGACTCTCATGCTTTGGAAGTCGCCAAACTTTGGCTGCAATCCTCTCCCTAGTTTTACCTGTGAAATCAGGTGCCCCCCCCCCCCCCTTTCTTTTATCGCAAATATCTCGACTTCTGTTTATAATGTATGAGTATTGTTTTCACTGAAAGCGAGACAAATGAACAAGCTTTATAATGATACAAATAACTCCATATGTTCAAAAATTGACGAGCGCCTGATTCCACATTTGCATTATACCTCAATGTGATGCCAAATGAATGATAGGCGCGCCCACTTAAAGTTACATGAACCGTAAGAATGGTAAGATACTTGAAATAAGGTTTGGTGATAGTTGATGTTGTTGTGGTGATTGTTGTTGTTGTTGTTGTTGTTGTTGTTGTTGTTGTTGTTGTTGTTGTTGTTGTTGTTG